TGCTAGGCCTAAATGCAAAACACTTGGCAGGATATATACAATAATAAAAATATCATTTTTTGAACATTTCAAAACAGCTTAAACTTGTGTTGAGCATATCCCTTTGAGTTGGGTATGAGCACACATTTCCACGCTTTGGCTTAAATGGCATAACTATTTGATGTTAGTGAATTTATAATGATCTCAGATACATTGAAACATGGAAGGTAGAATATTATGATTATGGATGTTAGTTATATTAAAATTCATTATAAATTGAAAAAGAAACAAAATTTACTCAAATTTTAGGATAATCGTAAGTTTTGCTGGTGTTTGCATAAGACCGTAAGATTTGATTGAAATGCGTAAGACTTACAGTATGGCAAGTGCGTACGTGTTGACAGGTCTGGGTTATTATTAGTATTGATATTATTGTAAGACCAGGAAATTGTTTTCATTTGAGGTCAAGAAGTTAAATTGCTTGTCATGTGGGGGAAATACATGTTAATATAAAAAATGTGTAAGTGGGTTGAACCATAAATTATTTACTGTGTTTTTTTTAATGATACTCTCCTCAGTACAAAAGTGATTTCAGTACCTTCTTCCAATAGTTTATGTGTAAGTGGGTTGAACCATAAGTTATTTACTGTGTTTTTTTAATGATACTCTCTTCAGTACAAAAGTGATTTCAGTACCTTCTTCCAATAGTTTATGTGTAAGTGGGTTGAACCATAAGTTATTTACTGTGTTTTTTTTAATGATACTCTCCTCATTACAAAAGTGATTTCAGTACCTTCTTCCAATAGTTTATGTGTAAGTGGGTTGAACCATAAGTTATTTACTGTGTTTTTTTAATGATACTCTCTTCAGTACAAAAGTGATTTCTTCTTCCAATAGTTTATTTGTAAGTGGGTTGAACCATAAGTTATTTACTGTGTTTTTTTAATGATACTCTCCTCAGTACAAAAGTGATTTCAGTACCTTCTTCCAATAGTTTATGTGTAAGTGGGTTGAACCATAAGTTATTTACTGTGTTTTTTTAATGATACTCTCCTCAGTACAAAAGTGATTTCAGTAACTTCTTCCAATAGTTTATGTGTAAGTAGGTTGAACCATAAGTTATTTTACTGTGTTTTTTTAATGATACTCTCCTCAGTACAAAAGTGATTTCAGTACCTTCTTCCAATAGTTTATGTGTAAGTGGGTTGAACCACAAGTTATTTACTGTGTTTTTTTAATGATACTCTCCTCAGTACAAAAGTGATTTCAGTACCTTCTTCCAATAGTTTATGTGTAAGTGGGTTGAACCACAAGTTATTTACTGTGTTTTTTTAATGATACTCTCCTCAGTACAAAAGTGATTTCAGTACCTTCTTCCAATAGTTTATGTGTAAGTGGGTTGAACCATAAGTTATTTACTGTGTTTTATTAATGATACTCTCCTCAGTACAAAAGTGATTTCAGTACCTTCTTCCAATAGTTTATGTGTAAGTGGGTTGAACCATAAGTTATTTACTGTGTTTTATTAATGATACTCTCCTCAGTACAAAAGTGATTTCAGTACCTTCTTCCAATAGTTTATGTGTAAGTGGGTTGAACCATAAGTTATTTACTGTGTTTTATTAATGATACTCTCCTCAGTACAAAAGTGATTTCAGTACCTTCTTCCAATAGTTTATGTGTAAGTGGGTTGAACCATAAGTTATTTACTGTGTTTTATTAATGATACTCTCCTCAGTACAAAAGTGATTTCAGTACCTTCTTCCAATAGTTTATGTGTAAGTGGGTTGAACCATAAGTTATTTACTGTGTTTTATTAATGATACTCTCCTCAGTACAAAAGTGATTTCAGTACCTTCTTCCAATAGTTTATGTGTAAGTGGGTTGAACCATAAGTTATTTACTGTGTTTTATTAATGATACTCTCCTCAGTACAAAAGTGATTTCAGTACCTTCTTCCAATAGTTTATGTGTAAGTGGGTTGAACCATAAGTTATTTACTGTGTTTTATTAATGATACTCTCCTCAGTACAAAAGTGATTTCAGTACCTTCTTCCAATAGTTTATGTGTAAGTGGGTTGAACCATAAGTTATTTACTGTGTTTTATTAATGATACTCTCCTCAGTACAAAAGTGATTTCAGTACCTTCTTCCAATAGTTTATGTGTAAGTGGGTTGAACCATAAGTTATTTACTGTGTTTTATTAATGATACTCTCCTCAGTACAAAAGTGATTTCAGTACCTTCTTCCAATAGTTTATGTGTAAGTGGGTTGAACCATAAGTTATTTACTGTGTTTTATTAATGATACTCTCCTCAGTACAAAAGTGATTTCAGTACCTTCTTCCAATAGTTTATGTGTAAGTGGGTTGAACCATAAGTTATTTACTGTGTTTTATTAATGATACTCTCCTCAGTACAAAAGTGATTTCAGTACCTTCTTCCAATAGTTTATGTGTAAGTGGGTTGAACCATAAGTTATTTACTGTGTTTTATTAATGATACTCTCCTCAGTACAAAAGTGATTTCAGTACCTTCTTCCAATAGTTTATGTGTAAGTGGGTTGAACCATAAGTTATTTACTGTGTTTTATTAATGATACTCTCCTCAGTACAAAAGTGATTTCAGTACCTTCTTCCAATAGTTTATGTGTAAGTGGGTTGAACCATAAGTTATTTACTGTGTTTTATTAATGATACTCTCCTCAGTACAAAAGTGATTTCAGTACCTTCTTCCAATAGTTTATGTGTAAGTGGGTTGAACCATAAGTTATTTACTGTGTTTTATTAATGATACTCTCCTCAGTACAAAAGTGATTTCAGTACCTTCTTCCAATAGTTTATGTGTAAGTGGGTTGAACCATAAGTTATTTACTGTGTTTTATTAATGATACTCTCCTCAGTACAAAAGTGATTTCAGTACCTTCTTCCAATAGTTTATGTGTAAGTGGGTTGAACCATAAGTTATTTACTGTGTTTTATTAATGATACTCTCCTCAGTACAAAAGTGATTTCAGTACCTTCTTCCAATAGTTTATGTGTAAGTGGGTTGAACCATAAGTTATTTACTGTGTTTTTTAATGATACTCTCCTCAGTACAAAAGTAATTTCAGTCTTCTTCCAATAGTTTATGTGTAAGTGGGTTGAACCATAAGTTATTTACTGTGTTTTATTAATGATACTCTCCTCAGTACAAAAGTGATTTCAGTACCTTCTTCCAATAGTTTATGTGTAAGTGGGTTGAACCATAAGTTATTTACTGTGTTTTTTTAATGATACTCTCTTCAGTACAAAAGTGATTTCAGTCTTCTTCCAATAGTTTATGTGTAAGTGGGTTGAACCATAAGTTATTTACTGTGTTTTTTTAATGATACTCTCCTCAGTACAAAAGTGATTTCAGTCTTCTTCCAATAGTTTATGTGTAAATGGGTTGAACCATAAGTTATTTACTGTGTTTTTTTAATGATACTCTCCTCAGTACAAAAGTGATTTCAGTTTCTTCCAATAGTTTTTCTTTACTTTTTTTTATACCTTGTTTAGCAAATTTTTTGAGAATTGAGGAAATAAAATAGAATTTTTTATTTTTATAATATTTTGGCTTTGATCTGTGTAAAATCTATAGTAATTTAATGTTAATCTTTGTTAATTCATAAACTCTCTACTTTTAATCTGTGTAAAATTTGAAGCGCTCTAATATTAATCTGTAAAAAAAATTTTGAGTGCTCTAACATTTATCTATGTAAAATCAAAAGCACTCTAATATTTTTGTTTGTCCTCATATGATTTTTTTCAAAATACCGGTACTTTTCTATCCATAGTTGAGTTTTGGAGTTCCTGCTTCAGCGTATCAAACAATGGCAGCAGAGTCAAGGCTCTGCAGGAGAAAAATAAGAAAGAGCTAGAAAGAAGTAGTATGGACAAACATGGAGAACCCAAAGAAGTATATTGCACACCAACTTCAGAGGATCGTAGAAAAACCAAAGTTTTGCAATGTTGCTTAGGAACAAGAGGTAAGGAATTAAATTAAGAGATTATTTAAAATGATAAGGTGATACGCTGTACACAACGTATCACCTATTATTTTTCTAAATATTTTTCTTCTGTTCTTTCTCCTCTTTGTTCATTGCTTTTCTCAAATATGGTGCAGGCTCTAACCTTGCTTGGCATGTTGTATCTACATCTGAAGTCACAGTCATGTGATGTCATCTACATGCCATTTTCTGAAAATTTCTATGTGATCATAAATTCCTCACAGGCATTTTCAATAAAACATGTTATGAGTGTGCGTATGCATGCGTTAAAATTTAAAATGCTCAAAATCACTTTTTGACTAATTTGGAGCAGGTTTCAGGTTATTTAGAGGCATCTAGACTTTACCAACTTGTACATTCACTATGACACTCCATATCAAGGTGGACTGAAAAATGTTGTCTATGACGTTGTAGCTCCGCTTCTTGGTTGAGGTTTTTTGTTTTTTTTATTATGAAATTGTATATATATTTTTAGGGACTCATTTGTTTTAAATTTTTAATATGTAATTCGTCTTTGTAATTTTTAAGTTATTAATGTAAATTTTAATGTTTAATAGTGCTCTATTTTAATAATGATTTGTAAATTTTTATTGGCCAATATTTGTAAAGATTTTTCAGTCTTTCAATTCAGCTTATGCTGCAATAGACTGTTTTGTATGTGCGATTCTTTTTTTTGCAATAAATATACCTAAATATATATATATATATATATGTATAAAACGACAAGATAAAGATGCCAAATTCCAAATAATAACAGGACAGCAAAGATTTATTCAAACAATTATATTGAACAGTAATCATCATATAAACAGTAATCTTAAACTTCAATTTAACAGGCCTCGTCGCACATGCTTAGCCATGTGAATTCGCTTTGGGTATTTCATCACTGCTCAGACGTGCACACTTGTTCTGAACAAATGGACATATTTGGCCCTATCCAGTGCAATGCAGTTAATTAACAAAAATTAACATCTAGTTGCATAATTTAGGAGAAATTACTTCTCAAATATGGTCCCAAACCCAAATTTTTCAAATAAAAGATGACAAACTTGAACTTCAAATAAAAGAAGACAAACTTGATCATAGGTTCAGTAAGGTTCACTTCATTAAGGTTTATTTTTGCTAGTTGAATGTTGTGCTGTGTGTTACCAAGCCAATAGATTAATAATATAAGGAGGGTGGTGACATCTGTTTGATTATTAAAGGAGATATTTGTACTTATGTGGCCCCCAGACCCTAAAATGTGCTGTGTTGCACGTGCTGTAGATGTTGCGTGATAATGCATGAGTTCAAAGAGAAGAAACAGTTAAGTACTATGTACACATGACAATTAAACTAAACACAAATCAAGATATAATGTAAAGATTTCAACATACTTAATTAAATGACAGTCATAAAATAAAATGTTCAGATACAATATTTCTAAAATAAAAGAGATAATGAATTTAGTACAGTACGAGACAGCATCCCACTTTATATGTCGCCGTCAAATCAGCTCAGCTTAGGCTTGCCTTTACAAGTTGAAATCAAATATATCAGTTCCTAAGCACCTTATATTATGTAACGTCAGTACCATCTCAGTAAGCCACTTTGGTTTTTTCACTATATATTACATGACCATTGCCTATATCCTGGTCCCCAGTCAGTCGGGAACTGAAAAATGAAAAACCCAACTGGGCTCTATATAATCAGTAATATTTACAGTAATAACTATCATTTCATTGTCATTGTTAATTTGAACTCAGGTAAGTACAATTCCAAGTAACTTAATCATTACTCACTTAAATTCCCAGTTTCTGTTATACAAAGTAACACCAAGCCTCCATTCCATTAGCTATTTCTGGCTCCTCAGGCCACATACCATTCTACTGCCTAGAAATTACACCACCCCTTTCTTTAGTTAACACACCCCATTCTTTGGTTAAGACATTAACATATGGTTACACTTCATTAGTATTGACTTATCACAGAGTGCCACTTACTTTTAACTAATTAATATGCATATAACTTTAGCTCATTAATATGCATTCATATATTCTCTCAAATCCAGCTGCGACTGGATACAGTACACAATTAACTTATGCATATTCATTGTTTACCAGTCATTAACAATACTTCACTTTGCAAACATGGTGTTTGCAACTATATACAATAACTTTCCTGCATTTACTTCACCTAAATTTGATGTAATGTCAAATAATAAAAATACTGTATTTTAATTCTAAAGCAATAGCACAAGATAACATAGGTTGAAAAGAACCTCCACTGCAATATCTGACATGCTGTTTTTAATTGGAGGGATGAAGTTGGAAGGGGGTGGGGGTGTCATTCCATGCCAACTCAACAAATGCATTACACTATGGTTCATGGATTTTTAAAATATTTTGCACACTGCAAGAATGTTAAATGAAAAACCTGAAATTTTGAGACTCTAATTCTCGTTCGTTTGCCCGTAGCGGCTGTTTGAAGTTAAGGGGGCGTGGCTGAAATTAGGGTGCTGCGAAATGAACTTTGATTTTGCAGTTTTAGGGCAACTTTTACTGCTAATTCCAAATGCAATCAAAAAAGTTTCAGCATGTACCAATTTGGAATAGCAATGGTCAGAAAATGGGATGAAAGCCGGTCTGGATCATTTTCAGGGGGTGCCGTACAAATTTGGAATAGCAATGGTCAGAAAATGGGATTAAAGATAGTCTGGACCATTGTTCAGTGGGGGTGGGGGCATAATACAAAAAGTACAATCTTCAAATTTGGAGGAATTATAGCCATCCAGTAGTACTCTCCATATATACAGTTTTAAACTTATCTGCACTTTTTTGCCCCAGATACAGCCACCCAAAATGCAAAAAGTTGTTTTCAACCATAATTTGACCCCCAAAAAAACTGTCGTAGGAATATCGCACCAAAATCTTCTTGGCATATGTTTTAGATTTGTCCATAATGAAGTTACTTGAAAGTTTCATTGTGGTGTCAAAGTGTCTTCAGTATGTACCTTGACTTGACAAATTTTAGACACTGTTTACTAACATTGAGGGTACTAGACTCAATCATAGCTTTTGGTTGCCTACACAATTTATTGAACAGAAATACTGTACCTTCATTGTTGTCCAGCTTTTTAAATGATATATAGGATCTCATTATTGGCTATTTAAAAAAAAAAATTAATAACTTTTGGATTTTAACAATTACAATGGCTACATAGTTCATTTTGCCGTGGAACTTGCTACCTCACATGGGAAGAGTCCCTGTGATGGAATTGGAGGCATAGTTAAGGATCTGGTGAGAAGATCTAGCCTTCAAGCTATGACAACCAACCACATTCTGACCCCAAAAGATCCATATTTATGGGCTTAATTACTTACAGCCAGTTTATTCTTAATAATCACTTTATTCAGAAAAGAAATAAAGGAAAACATATACAGTACATGTACTTTATGTACATATCGTCTGATGATAACAGTACACACAAAAAGAAAATTGAGACCAGAATGCAAATGCAGCAAATGCAAAAATTGTAGTAGGAAGTCGGAGGCTTCCCCACCCCAATTTGTGCCCAGTAAGGATGAATTACTTGGGGGTGCAGACAATGCAATTGCATTTCCCCTAAATTGTTTTAAGAAAATTAAATTGTTATATTTTACTGTTGCCAGTAAGATTTTCAAGGTATGAATATTTTCAAAATTTTCTTGCCTCAACCCAGACATGGGGGGGTTGAGGTTGTATGGGCCCTCACGCACACCCAACAACACCCACACCCATGAGGTATGTGATGTCACATTTTCCCATGTGCTGTGCTGTGTACCAGCACCCGAACTTTACTAACAATGGCTGTCAAACACAATACAAAATTGATGAGGCATTATCTGCCCAATTGAATTTGCACATCAAGAATTCATAATCAGAAATACTTAATATACTAGAAATTGCAAATTGCAAGTGAAGTGCTGCAAAGTACAACTGCATATAAATGTTCTTGGAACAAAATTATTTATGCGAGTCAAGTGAAAATAATGAATAATAAAAATATAACAAATAATATGAGACATGACCCATTGTCTATATTCTGTCTCTTATACACATCTAGATGTGTATAAGAGACAGAAACCCAACTGGGCTCTATATCAGACCATTGCCATTTTAAAATGGTACATGCTACAACTTTTCTGATTTGCAGATTTCGAATTAGCAGTAAAAGTTGTCCTAGACCACAACATTTCAAGGTTATAGGGGTTTTACTTCTGAAGATATTAGCATATGAAAATCAAGTTCATTTGCGGCACATTAATTTGAGCCACACCCCCTTAACTTCAAACAGCCACTATGGGCAAACATACGAGAACCTATTCAATTAACAATATATACTGTCAAAAATACACCCAACACTCGCAATCCCTTAAGAAGGCCTTTCTGATTTACAGACTGTAGCCTACTGTAAATGTGTCTGGCAACAAGAGCCTGTATCTTCAATACCGATATTCTGCATTTGGAAAATAAGCCCCTCCTCCTGAGTAGCTGAACGAAATGTTATAATTGGACATTTATCATCTGGGAAAGTTCCTTTTTTTCTTACCCAATTTTTTCCTGGATTCTTAAACTCCACTTTCTCAATCTTTCCAATTTCCTCAAGGTGTTTCAGTGATTCCTTTCGAAAAATGTAAACGTGCTTTGACAGAATCACCGCTTTTTCAATATCCTTCAGTTCAACTCTTTTCCCGCAAAATTTATTGAAAATAAAATCTGCAACAGGGCCTTTTGAGTCCTGATCATTTCTAAACGGAGCCATTTCTCCCATTTCATTGACTTTGAAATCAGAGAATACAAAAAGATTTTCATCTTGTGTTACTCTATTCATGCACTCCTTCATGTTCTTGAATCCATAGTCATCGTTGTTGGCAAATACAAGGCTGTACAGATCTGAATTGTTCTCAGACTTCATGCAAAAACACAAAGTAAAACAGCCGGTGAAATACCGCAGATGGTAGGCATATTCATGAACAAGGGCTGTACATGCTTTAACATGCTCAATTTCTTTTGGGTTGTCATATACATTGGGCCATTCATCACAACTGAAAAGATCATTAATAGCTTTATGTTTTTGTTTGTCTTTTTGCCAGCGATTCACTGCTTGTACCATAAAATTTAAAAACAATTCAACATTGGAAAAGCTCATTAACTTTCTGATAACATCCATTGGGGTATGCGAATATCCAAAGGGGTCAACAAAAGCAAACACTGGACATAATGGTATCAACCTTACCAGAATAACACGCTTAAATTCATCATTGAGTATCTTTACGCTAACTCTTCCGTCACCTGGATAGGTTTCATCTTCTGGTCTATATATGAACTCTGTATCATCAACTTGCTCGTGCAGCATGTACTTCTTGTGCTGCAGACACTGCTTCACATTATGTGTTAGTTTTTTTACATTATCCTTATCTTTTTCAATGAAAATGAATTTTGCCGAACGTGGTCTGCCGATACTTTGGTGACTGGCTTTCACTTCATCAAAATGATCCAAAACAACCAGTAAGGCGATTATTGGTGAGCCAAATTGTTCTATGTTAGGATAACCTGATTGTAACAATTCTGAAATTGTCTTCGATCCATAGACACCTGCTCCAGCAAAACCATCAAGATAACATATTTCAGGGTTGTTAGTGTAGTACATTCTCGGAACCCATGATTGTAAATATTTTTTTAAAATTGTTCTCTTGGCCAATCCATGTGGTTTATCTGTCTTGAAAAATGACGATGGAAGACTCTGATTATTACCAGCGTATGCCATGTTCAATCAGCTTCTTTTTTGGCCTGTAAATTAAAGTATGCTATTAATTATTGAGTAAGAAATATATTTTACAAATGTAAAGATATTTTTTCAAAAAATTTAGTTCTTGTAAATACATAAAGCAATATTTTATTTAAAATAAAACAAAAAATTAAAAGTAAATTTGTTAATAAACATTTTTTTCACTTTCTGTTCAAATAATCATTAAATGACAAATATATGTTTAGACCAGATACAATTTCTTATAAGACTTCAAAGACTAAGTCTTATCATATTTTACATGTTTGTAGCCAGTTTTGGGCAGTTAAATCCTCAGAGGTGAAGGTACCAAGCCTATCACTTTCCGGTCTTTGCTAGGTACGAACACGACAGCTATTTCCAGCATGGCGAAAAAAAAAAAAGGAATCTCGAGCGAGAGCAGAAATCACGTACATGAAATAAATGCAGTACTGGAAGCTTTTAGAACAGTGCTTTTTCCAGCAGGGTATAAATATGGTTTTATCACGATTAAAATGGCTGTTGTAAATTAAATTTTCATTGTGTAGACATTGGTTTAGTCAAAACTTTTTGGTGATCCGCATCTAGTGCGGATAACCTCTTGTTATTGTCAGAGATCTTTTTTTTTTTTATTCTATTTTCTGGCAAATTACTGCTCGCACGATATCTCAAATTTGCCTAGAGCTACGCACAAAATGACTACAACAAACATATGTTACCAGTCACATGTGACGTCATCTACGCGCATTTTTGTGTTTTTTTACGTAATTGATTATATCAGCCTAACCAATTGACATTTCGAAATCATATTACGTTAGCATTAACTTCGAGGGAAGGTTGAATGTAATGTACTCATTTTGCGCATGCGCTTCATAACATGCGTGTCAAAATTTTAAAATGGTCAAAATCAATTTTTGACTAAATTAGAGCACGTTTTTAGCCATTTTGAACATTTCAACATTTTTAAAATTTTCGGCACCGCGTGCGCATTTTTACTCGCGCAGCACGTACAGAAGTTAGAAATATTGTTTTTTTAAATGTTTTAGGTCCTTGACACTGTATTCATAAATTTCCAATCTTTTTTGGTCATTTAGGGTCAATAGCAATGCCGTACGCGCGCATAGAACATAAGAGCACATGTGCGCGTTTTTTTCGACAGAGCAAAAAAAGGCCAAAAACATGCTATTTTCAATCAATTATAGCTCCTTAGAATGAAAGGTGACCCCCAATTTTTATTATATATTCTGAAAGCACATGAGTTGTAGATATGATTTTTTAGATCATAATGGCTGATCCGACATTGTGACGTCATCATATTGCCATTTGAAATAAAAAAACTGATTTTTTAACTATGATGTCATTTGTTAAAATACGCATTTGAGCGTATCTTGCTTATCCTTGATTGATTTTTTCCAAACAAACGAGTATGTTATAATAACCCAGACAATTCTCTTTTGTAAATGTCAAGTCTTTTTGGTGATCCGCTAACGTTAGCGGATCACCTATTGTTATTGTCAGGATCATCATCATCTTTTTTTTATTCTTCTTTCTTTCTCCCCTTTTCTGTTCGCACGATATCTCAAAAAATGCCACGAGATATAATGTTGGCCTTTAAATGGCTTTGTGTCATGACTGTCTCTTATACACATCTAGATGTGTATAAGAGACAGTGCGTGACGTCATCTACGCGACATTTTCCGTTTTTACATTATCGATCATATCAGCCTAACCAATTGCCATTTCGAAATCGTATTAAGTGAGCATTAACTTCGGGTTAATGTTGAATGTACTATACCCTAATTGCGTCAAAATTTTAAAATGCTCGAAATCACTTTTTGACTAAATTAGAGCACGTTTCGGGCTATTTTGAGCATTTCAAAATTTTCCACTACGCGCGCACATTTTCACGCGCGCAGCTCGTACAGAAGCTAGAAATTATGTTTTCTAACATAGTTTGGGTTCCCCACGTTTTTTTTACAAATTTCCATTCATTTTGGTCATCTTATGGCCAATAGCAATGCCGTACGTGCACATCAAACATAGGTATCTTTGCGCGTATTTGTGCCGCTATACAGTGAAATAATGCTAAAATCAGACCTATTTTTAATCAGTTATAGCTCCTTAGGTTGAAAGGTGAACCCCAATTTTTATTACATATTCTGAAAGCACATAAGTTGTAAATATGATTTTATAGATCATAATGGCTGATCGGACATTGTGACGTCATCATATTGGCATCTGAATTCAAAGAAAGCGACTTATAGCTATGACGTCATTTTTGAAAATACGCATTTGAGCGTATCTCGCTTATCCTTGGTCGATCGTCTTCCAACTTTGAGTATGTTATAGCTGAGACAATTCTCTTTCATATATTTGACATCTTTATACATTTTGATGATGTCATCATGGTAAAAAAATATTGTTTTTTCTGACCCCCTCATTTCTCGTCATTTCTAAATCATATTAGGTGAGCATTAGCTTCAGGTCAAGGTTGAATGTTATGTACCTTAATTTTCCGTTCGCGCTTTTTAGCGTGCACGTACGCGTGCGTCAACATTTATACATGCATAAAATCATGAATGTTTTTAATAAGTTATAGCTCCTTAGGATGAAAGGTGACCCCCAATTTTTATTACATAATCTGAAAGCACATGAGTTGTAGATACGATTTTATACGGTAATTTTCAGCATTTCAAAACTTTCCATAATTTACCCGCCGTACGTTCATTTCCACGCACACAGCACATATTATAGCTGAAAACCACGTTTTGTTACATATTTTGTGTTTCTGACACTGTCAGGAGTCACTCTTTGTGACATTACCGTGCTCACGGGCGTCAAGACGTGCGTATGCATGCGGAAATCTTTTAAAATGCTCACAATTATTCTTTTTAAAAGAAAACTAATTAGAGGATATTTTAGCATATTATGACACTTTTCAATCAGCACCGCGTGATCTTAATGAGGGTCAAAGTGCGGCGGATCACCTAACTCGTCCTCAGTGACGAGTTCAAATCTAGTTAAATTTAACCCACTGTGGTCTAACAAGAAATTTAAAATACATGACAAAATTCTAGGAGAGAAATCAAACTCAATTAGTTTTTTAGTAATATATTATGTTTAACAATAGTGTTGAAATCACTTGAAAAATCTATAAAAAATATGACCTTACAAAGTTCTTAATTGGCTTTTCCAGCTATATAAACATTATTTACTATGAACTACAAGAAAGGCATCATCTGTTAAAAGATTTGAAATATTAAATTCAAAATTGAGATGGTTAGGCCTACATGAGGATATTTTATCTCACTTTCCATTTAGTTCTGAATTAATTTGCAATAAATAAAACATGTATTATAGTTCCACGTAGTCTGGTGCCATCTTTCGTAAACAGGCAGTAAAACATTTACAGGCGTTATACGGTGATGGTAACATTTGTTGAGCATGCTTGTGGTCTTTCATTTGAATATGGATTACAAGAAATTGATTAAAAGTAATTAATAAATAAATGTTTTTGTATTGTTTTGGCTCCATACACGACATACTATACACACATACACGGACTCGCACTTTGTACACAAAACCCAAATTTACTGTGTTATGTTGATTTCTGGAAGGGTAAATTTGAATATAAAATTGGCCTTTAAATGGCTTTGTGTCATGATTTAATGTTATGGTTTTCATATTATGTAGAATCCAGCATGTCTTCTAAATAAATCAACAGCAAATTAGAATATCACGCACACCACACCCAGACAAATTTAAGACTCAGAATACAGACAATTCTTGTGTTGTATTGTTTTGCTATCCAGCAATCTTCCTTAGTTGCTTACCTACAGGCTCACGCCATAACATAAACAAGTTGGTTTGACATTTAAAAAAAAGAGATGACTCTGAGATTTGATACACAACATAAATTTGATTTTAATTTATACAATTCTTCTGACACTCTTTATAACCTCAAGGAAGAGGCGCATTATAAATACCTATACCTGCACTACCAATTGCAAACGGAACCTACAATCTTAAATTTAATAATTTTTTAAAGATATCTTTCGAGATACGTTTAAAAGCAGGACACAACATACTTTGGGACAACCTATACGTACCCTCACCCTTTAGTGAGGCATAGGGGAACGTGCCCTCCCCCGTTGTGTCACTAATTTTTTTAAGTTTCAAGGCATATTGAAATTAGTGCTCTCGCTTATCTATTCTGAATATGTTGTGCTCCACCCCACCCCCTTTGAAAAATTCTGGATCCGCCCCTGAAGACGTTAACAAAAATAATGTACTGTATTTATTTTTCTTTTTCATCACTTATTCAAATTCAATATAGAGACTATAGAAAAAAAAAAAGAAAAAACATTGAATCAGGAAAAGCAAATCGATAAAGGAGAGAAACTCTAGACCCGTTCATATAACAGACATGCAAGATAGAAAAGAGGGGCATTTGCAAAAAAGCAGGGTTACAGGACAGACAGAGAATGTGTAAAAATATATGATTCGTAGTTAGGCCTATTTGAAAATAAAACCGAAAAATTCAGAATCCAAAATGTTTCTTAAACAAATTAAATTTTAAAAAGTAGAGCGGATTTTCTTTAATTATAAATATATATACTTACATATTTGTATAAAATATCGAACAAGTATAATAACAATAAAAATAAACATATGAAATGAACAAACACAAAAATATATTCGCGATTAATATATTTCTTCTGCGTCTTAACTCCGTCACTTATACCACAACTCGTCTATAGGGCTATATGTTTCAGAATATCCTCCGGGATTTTAAAATTGGTATTTATCGTGATTATTATTTATTTATAAAAGTTGAAAAGTGGGACAATTTGGGGGTTGGGCGGGACAGCGGGACACAACTCCCAAAAGCGGGAAAATCCCGCCGAAAGCGGGACAGTTGGAATCTATGCCAAAGTTACTCTTGTTTTTCAAAAGTCTAATTTAGAGCATATTTTAGGCCATTTTGAACATATTAAAGTATTCCAATCCGCACCGCGCAAGCTTCCTGAGAGTCAAAGTGCGGTGGATCACCTAACTCGTCCACAGTGACGAGTTCGAATCTAGTACAGTATTGTAATTTTCATCAAATTTCGGTATAAAAATAAGCCATCATTTTTAAACTATTTCACAGGCTGTCAACCCCCAGTGTTCGTTTTGTACTCTCGTGAAATGATAAAAATAATGGATATCATTTTTTCAGCAGCTTCTAAACGTTACTTTGCTGGTATAATGTTCTGTAGGGCTCTTTTAGTATTTGATTCTTGAAGACAAATGTATCTGATATAATTATTGCAGTGGCTATTTTTACAGAAGTCTGTAAACCGATTCTTTTAGACTACTGTATTTCTACGGCATTGAAATACTCATGCGCAGTAGCCTGTTTGTAACTTTACTCTTTTTGGAAGTCGCGATGTGATGTTGATCAATCGCGACAACCCTTATTTGTTGGAGTTGCGTTGAATACCTGTCCAAAATGGTAACACAGTAACAAAGTCCTTGATTGATCAAGCCAACATTACACCGCGAAGTCCAAATTGAGAAGTTAAAAAAAGGGCTACTGCGCATGCATATTTTAATAGAGTAAAAATAGTCTACAAGAATCGGTTCACAGACTTTCGTAATAATAGCCACTGCGTATTATTATTTATGTTAATAGGGTCATTTCATGTCGAATCACCCAAGAAGATGAAAATTGTTAGCCCCCAATCAACTCCGATTTTGATGAAAATTGGTATACATGTTGGGTTTTGGCATCAAACGTGCAAATCTCAAGTTTTAGCAAAATCGGATCAATGTTTTGGAAGTTATGGCCGTAAAATTTCAAGGTGACGCAGTCCACAAGGTTAAATTTGAGGTCAAAAAGAAGGTCAAAGGTCATTGACATTAGATATGGCCATTTTTTCAAAATGATGGCAGATTTAGACTCCTTAGTTAATTCTCATTTTAGAAATACCAATTTTATGAATATCGGTCAACCCACTGCTGAGATATTAAGGATTAAATTTTGATGGCCACACCTGTTTTTTGCCCTATTTTTGGGCGGGCCGTAACTTTCAAAATATTGGTCCGATTTAGCTAAAATTTGAGATTTGCGGGATTGATGCCAAACCCAACATGTATACCAATTTTCATCGAAATCGGAAGTCGGTCGGGTTAAACCCATTGGGTGATTTGAAATGGATTACTAAATCGTCAATAGCTAGCCTATATATACAGTAGCTCTAGCATCATTTTTCTTAGATACATTAATATTTTGATTCATTAGTTTCAATTTGTTATTAATCCTTAAGTTAATTATTGGATCTGTTGTAATAAAGCAACATAAATGAATTAAATATTTACCTTATATTCTCTATTTAACCTTAGGTACGTAGGAAGTGTCTCCAACAATGTAAAGTGGGTTTTTCCAGAGTTTGTCATGTGACCTAGCTGGTATTTTTGTGGGTGCTATCAAGCATGAAATGATGAAATCAGACTTTGAACTGCAAAGTTCAGTACTATATTGAGTATGTGGCGCCAAGTGTGAATTTAATATTTAGCACAATTATTTATGTGTAATTCATTAGTTAACATATAATTGAATAGGACGCTCATTATATACATATAATAGATTATCAAACCTCCCAAGAAAACCCAAATATAGGGAGATTTTGTCATGAAGCACACAGTTTTTCTAATATATACCATAGAAGACATCCGAGCGAGGGTGATAAACCAATAATTTATTTTTTATTGGGCCTAATTCTTAGGTCTATGCCTAGCCTACTTTGACCTAATTCCATTATTTTATTGAATTAAAGTAAAATGTTGTTGAACCAATACCTGACTTTTACAGTTTAATAAATTGCGTTTCTGTAAAGAAATTTTAGTCTATTATTAATCTTTTTATAATATCACAAGCATAGTCAGATTGCATTCAGAGTCAATGCAGGTAACCATGTTGTTTACATAGTAAAAAAACAGAAGTGGTCCTAGGACAAGGGCGGATCCAGAGATGTCCAAAAGGGGTGCCGAAAGTTGTGGAGATCGAGATAACACTATCCCCGGGAAATTTATGTGTTTAGACACCCGAAAATAACATCTGAAGAGTTTTGGGCGATCATTTTTGCTTTTTTTTCCTTTCTTTCTTTTTTGGTTTTTTTTACCTCGCAAAAAAAGGGGGGGGGGGCTGGGGCCGGGGTGGCCCCTCCCCCACTTAAATCTGCCCTGTAGGATACTCCCCTGTAGGATACTCCCTTGGGGTACCCCACAGGAAATCGTGCACACATTTACACAAACTTGTTTTCTTGAAGATAAATATGATTTGAACCAATCAACCAATTCAATTCCCATTAGTTTAAGCTTTTACATTAAATGAGGTGATTGACCAAGTCACACCCTGAAAATATTCCTTTTAGAGGATTTGGTCATAAGGCATGTATCAGTTGAAGAAGACGCTCTAAAACCAGATTGATATTGGTACAGGATATTATTGTCAACAAGATAGCTTTCGATTTGAGTATATACAGCTTTTTCTAAAGACTTTTGACAATGAGCTTAATATTGCTATTGGCCGGTAGTTCTGGTTCTCTTCTTATAAAGGGGCTTGACCTTTGCAAATTTTATCAGATCAGGAACCGTATTAGTGGTGATTGATAAATTCACATCAAGCCCGGATCCGGTCCGGAGCCCGGACAAAAAATCGTGATTTGCTACGTTTTTTTTAACGCTGCGTTCACATCGCGCACAGAACACAGTTGTTCGTGTTAAGTTCAATTGGTTTGAACCAACCATGCTTGTTGCTGATTGGTTCAAGAAAAAAAAAACGTACGATTTCAGGATGCAAATGGCTCTCAGATCCATCATTCCGGATCCGGAGTCCGGATTAGAAATCGTATGAATTTGATGTGAGCGGTCCTATTATTTACCACTGAACCCATTTTTCACGATTTCTCCAGACTCCAGACCGGAATCCGGGCTTGATGTGAACGTAGCTTAACTGGGGTTTTAAGGATTTCTGCTCTATCATTGAGAAAACAAGGGGGCACTCTGTCATTTAAGACAAATTCTTCATCAACAATTTAAAAAATGAAACCATGATGGTACAGTAGGCCTAGAGTATAGTAGGCTATTTTTTAATTACCAAAACATACAGCAATTGCTGAATTCCTAGGCCTAGTCATAGTGTAGGTTAGGTAGGAGACCCGGTTTGACAGCACTAACCCAAAACTCCGACCTTTTTGAGGCTGCAGGTTACATCTACAGGTGAATTTTAGGTAAGTCCAGACACTATGGGGACACAACTATGCATAGATCCGTCATACAGTGCTTCCTGATAGTGGGAAGATCATTAATAAAAATATTGAAAAGTAGGGGAATACAATAGGGGTACTTGGGGATCAGTAGAGAGTAGCAATTCTTAAAAAACTGAATTTTTATATGTATATCAATCAATATTGCTTAAAGAGGATTTTGGTAGTTTTCAACCAAATTGATTTTCTCTAAATGTTAATGTCTTTTCAACATAGAGCCACAAAAATATTATGTGAGGGTTGCACATACAGCTGAGTGATCAGACCCAAGTTCAAATCGTGATGTCCTAGTAGGTCTTGAACCAAGGTGGGTGTACACCGCAAGAGGCAAGAACAATACCGCTCAGTGGCAGTTCCCGATAGTTTACGAGATGCAGTTAACTGTGGGATTCAAAGAGCAGTACGAAAAGGTTATGAAGTTCTGGAAAAAGATTCTGCACTAGATGCCATAGAAGAAGCTGTTCGCGCCTTGGAGGATGATCCATGTTTTAATGCAGGTATGAAAGGCAGCTAATATCATAATCTGATATTCAAGTGTATTTCAACTCAAATATGAGCTACTATACTGTATATACTGTACTGTAAATAAAATGTTATGGGACACATGTTTATTCTGCCTAATTCTATACACATTTCAATCTTCTCTGATATTAGAGCAGGTGCAGTAGTCTGTTCTTACTGTACATGGGCCATTAATTTTGTTATGTCACTATTAATTCCTGTCCAGACTATAAAATTTTATTTCACAAAAACATGTGACATTTCTAAATGTGGTCATGATGACATCTTATACCATGAACATATACAGGCACATCATGACTATATGGGCATACAACAATATTTTTATTCATGTAATCCTAGCTTCCATTTCTTCAAAGTTCATCACTGCATTCTGTGTACCTGCACTCCAGTGGCGGCTCCAGGAATTCAAAATAGAGAGAGGGCTCAGAGGGGGATTTCACAGATAGAGGGTGTAGTCCACCTCAGCCCCACTATCGTTTGGGCTGAGGTAAGAAAATTTATGATTTTGGCACCTCTAGATGGCACTCAGGCGAAAATTTAATCATAATTTTCATTTTTTCTCCCATTTTTTAAAAATAATTTTGGAAAAATAAAGGGTGGGGGAGGGGGGGACTGGGCTGGCTTGTGCCAGCTCGATCCTCCTTGAATCTGTGACTGCAAATCATCACTAAACCTTTAGCCAAGTGCACTAAAGTATTAAGTTTATGTCTGGAGATTTACTACAATTATTTACGCTCAAATTGCTTTTTTTGTTCCAAGTCTTATTTTTGTTTACAGTAACTTTGCAGTCTCACTGTAAAGTATGTACTTATATTGTATTCTAAAATTCAGGTTTCCTTCCAATTAAAAACCACTTTTGGGAACAGGTTTCCTTGGTCTTTAGCAACTTTGGTCTCTAATTATTAGAATAATAAAGATAGACATCTGTTAATTTGGGACCACAGGAAAGTGGTGTTTAATTGGAGGTGGTCTTGTAAGGGCCTTATATAGAAGAGGGAGACCTGTATTTTTTAATAAGTAAATAATAGCTAATAGGTAGTATTATATATTTGCAGGAACTGGTTCTGTTTTGACTGTTAATGGTGATATAGAAATGGATGCCCTGATAATGGACGGCAGAGGTCTGCAGACAGGGGCAGTAACATGTGTACAGAACATTAAAAATCCTGTTTCTTTAGCTCGACTGGTTATGGAAAAGGTTAAATTTTATTTATTCTTCATTCATATAATAGCAGCCCAATTTACAATTCAGTACATTAAAGCTATTAATATAATATTTAAAACTTATTTAATTCTTTTTTCAGACTGATCATACTCTGCTTGCTGGAAAGGGTGCTAATCGGTTTGCTGAAGAGCAAGGTGTTCAGCAAGTGAGCAAGGAACAGCTTATTTGCAAGACGGCAATTGAGAAATTGGAAAAATATAAGAAGTATAGCCTTGCAGTCAGTGATCTTTTCAGAGAAGGGTAATAACAATTGATAATAACATATAGTATTTACTCAGGTGGGCTCACACCCTTGGACACTAGGTCCAATGCTAGGGCGTAAGCTTATACCTGGCAAATCCCTGTTCATGAAAAGCTTTTTCCACTTTTAAAGATTTGGCAGTCAATATTATAAAGCAACTAATTGTGCTCCATAGACACTTCGTTTTATATGCTTAAATAAGCTGGGTGCACGTCGCATCGTACAAAGGTCGGACAAATCCAAGTCCGCTCCGTTTGAGCGCTATACAACTTGACACCGTCTGCTGACTGTCGGTGGCAGTCTGAACGGACCACCATTAAACATGATCTGTCGTGCGCACGTTGTGGCATCGCCTTTTGCAAAGAATCCTGTCGATGGCCATCAAGTGCAGTTTGAGTGTTGTTGCAGGTTTAAAATTTACCTAAATTATTTCATTGCTATGCAGCAAAGGTCATGACACTGTTGGGGCTGTAGCAGTGGATTCCTTGGGCAATGTCGCTTCGGCCACGTCCACAGGTGGAATCACTGGAAAAGAAGCTGGAAGAGTCGGTGATTGTCCATTAGTAGGTAAGAAGATTCTAAAGCCAGTTTTCAACTAGGCGAATTTATTCACGCCCATCAAAAGTGTCAGTTCACTTCCAGAGTTCTGATTGGTTGCGCATTTTCTTCCGATTTCGCTGAAGTGAAAATCTGGTAGATGTGTGAATGCGCATGAACTGACCCTTTGGATTCATGCGAATAAATTTGCCGAATATGGTATATATATTTATTCATTCGTTCAAATAATAAATGCCGAAACCAAGAAGGCAAGCCTGTGTACAGATTCCAGTGACTAACTTAATTACAAAACCTCTAATATCAGTATGGAATACTGCACTACTACAGTACCCTGTGTTGGACTCTGTAAGTTACCAGGACCCAGGGATTGGAAAGCAAGCATCTTAACCACCAAGTATTTCAACTCCACTCCCAAGCTATTCAGCTCCACCAGTGGCCTATCTAGGGGAGGGTGTGGGGGATGCACGCCCTCCAAAAATTTTACTCGCGCTTCCCCAAGTCTTCCCCCAAAATTCACGGTCAAGTAGTTAAAAATCACCATATTTTGCGAATTAGCACCCCTGATCATCGAGTACCCCCACTTCACCTTCACGCCCCCCCCCCAATCAGCCTCCCCAATTCAAGACTTCAGATACGCCACTGAGCTCCACTCCTTTAATTCATGCCGAAACAACAACAAATTACCTTAGGGTGTGAGCTTTTTTTGGGGAGGGGGATGTGGGACCCCACACATCCCCTAGATACGCCCACCACTGATAAATTGGACTTCCATACTTTGATGATATATTTTCCTTTACAGTACCTACTCTTTAATATTCTCAGGTTGTGGTGGGTATTGTGATAACAACATTGGCGCAGTGTCATCAACTGGACACGGCGAGTCCATCAGCAGGGTGGTCCTAGCTAAAACTATCATTATGTACATGCAACAAGGTACTACACAAGCGCATTATCATAATTTTTATCCGGATATCACTATAATTTTAATTCCATCAGATAATCTCTAGATTGCATCAGTATAATTTCATTTTAAAGCCCTGTCTAGACTATCAAATTTTATTTGAGAAAAACATGTGACATGCCTAAATTTGGTCATGATGACATCACATCATGACCATATATAGGCTCATCACGACTATATATGGGCATACAGCAAAATGCGAGTTGAATGGCTGAGCGATTAGCATATTAGATTTGGCCAAATTGTGTCAAGAATTCCACACGACTTAATGTTCTCGCATGCACAGATGACTTTTAGCAACGTCATTACGTTCTAGGTCCTACCATTATCGTGCAATCAAAAGCTTTGTATTATCTGCGCAGGTTCTAATGACACGCTCGCCTATGATTCCGGTGGTCATTGATCGAGTTCCTAGTCCACATATCTAAGCGCTTTCCATCCTTTGGCAAAAAAAGCGCTGTATAAATTTCTATATTTTAAATTCAGATTTAGATTTGTGGAATAAATTTTGATAATCTTACAGAGCTTTACAAGTGTTCACATTTTGATTATGATTATCAGGATTTAAAATCAGTTCCTCCCTAAATCTTCATGACCATAACTGCAGAATTAGTAAGGAATTTTTTTTTCTCTGTCATAATTAGGATTGAGCCCTCAAGACTCAGCTGAGAAAGCACTGTCTGTCATGACCCAGAGGGTTCAAGGGTCAGGAGGTGTAATAGTGGTCAGCAACACCGGTGACATAGGAATTTCGTTTACAACTGAGCGAATGTCCTGGGCATCAATGCAAAATGATCAGTTGTGTTACGGACTGGATCCTGGTGAAAATAATATTGCTACAATAAGCAATATATGAAACTTGTTATGCTGTTCGAATGTTCAAATATTGAAATGCTCCTATAAATTTAATGCCATTATTTTTTAAAAGATTGTTCAATTTTAAAGTAGATACAAGTATATTTTAGTCATTTCAATACAATTAAAAGCAAATATGTCAATTGTCTTAAAACAAAATTGCAACTCTTTTAAAGTTGACATTTAGAAATACTCACCAAATTCTTGTATGTAACTATATAAATGTCATTTAGTGAATTTTATGTAAATATACCATATATTCTCGCGTATAAGGAGAACTGCATTAAGGACGATTCCAGAGTTTGAAAAGATTTTTTTTATGGCGGGCGTATAAACGACCCCCTGTTTCACCGTCTAAATTCCTACTTTTTGCTGCTCTTTATGGTCTTTTGCGTCTAGCTGGCAAAGACAGAGAGCCAATTAATACCATTTTTATGGCCATCAAATTTTACCGCATCTGAATTGTGTTCATTCATACTAACAGCTTTAGTAGCTCATCTTAAATTTTTAATTTTTAATTTGCATGTTATGGAAAATCCAAATAAAAAAAATGTGTATGTATTGCGCAATGTAAGACATCCCATCTTTCGATCGTAATTTGCTTTTTTAAGTTTCGTCGTACAAGAATACAGAGTAATTAAACTTCATACCTATTTCAATCAGTGAATCAATGAATTAAAGATTTTTTTCAAATCAATTATTGCGTTGTAGGTAAATGAAACACTAAAATGATTTGTTAATTACTTTTTTAATGTACAAAATATAGCCTAGAATTTTCATCATCAATATTTGTATGTAGCAGTTTCCCCATGTTGTGTACTTATAATAAAGATCATTTTATTTAAAAAATATATATATGTTGTAGACTTTGTGCACCTTATTTTTTTTATTTATTTTTTTTTTTTACTGGGAGGTGGGGGTGCTAGTGTAGATAGAGACTGATCACAACTTCAGTGTAATGACTGATCATCAGTGTACTGAATTGGTTATGGGCGTCTTATTTTACACAGTATATATAATTGGGGTAATAGTGTCAGCTTGCATTAATCCTACCATACCCAGTTGAAAATTTAAACATTTTGTGATATGTTATGCAGCACATGGCATGGGGTGGAGACTGATGGGAGAGGGGAGCACTTGAATATTTTTGCTTTGGACATTTTTAATATGGGGGGTGACTTAGGGTGTGAGCTTTTTTCGGGGAGGGGATGTGGGAGCCCACACACCACCTAGATACGCCCACTGATACATTGGACTTCCATACTTTGATGATATATTTTCCTTTACAGTACCTATTCTTTCATATTCTCAGGTTGCGGTGGATATTGTGATAACAACGTTGGTTCAGTGTCATCGACTGGACACGGTGAGTCCATCAGCAGGGTGGTCCTAGGTAAAACCATCATCTTGCACATGCAACAATGTATAACACAAGTTCATCATAATTTTCATCTGGATATCGCTATAATTTTTCATCCTTCAGATAATCTCTAGATTGCATCAGTATAATTTCATTTTAAAGCCCTGTCCAAACTATCAAATTTTATTTGAGAAAAACATGTGACATGCCTAAATATGGTCATGATGACATCACATCATGACCATATATAGGCACATCATGACTATGAGCATACAACAGGTTTTTTTTTTATAGTGTGGACAGAGCTTAACAAGTGTTCACATTTTTTTTTTCCTTCATTTTTAGGATTGATTCCTCAAGAAGCAGCTGAGAAAGCACTGTCTATCATGACCCAGAGGGTTCATGGGTCAGGGGGTGTAATAGTGATCAGCAACATTGGTGAAATACGAATTGCGTTTGCAACTGAGCGCATGTCCTGGGCTTCAATGCAGAATGATCAGGTGTGTTATGGACTGGATCCTGGTGAAAAGAAGGTGGCTACAAGCAATGTATTCTAGGTGAAGAAACTCACCAAAGCTGGATTTAACGGCAATATTTTCAGAATAAAAAAGGCTATAAAGATATGAATTTGCGACAGGTAAATATCATAAGAGTGATGTCTTTGCCCTACCTGACGTGTTATACCGAATACTCAGTAGTATTTGGGGATGTACTGAGTATTTGGTACTCCTATGGAGTAACTGGATGCTTCCTAAATGAACTTACCGTAAGACATCAGAAAGAGTTTCCATATGACGACAGTAGAAAGTAGAACATAATGATCAATGTCACGTGGATTCCAGGACGCAGTTTGAACAAATCTATGTTGAGCAGAGAATGTAGGACGGACACACAGGAGTGAATCAGTTCTAGCGTCATTTCATCGCTCAAATAAATTCAGGAAATTGATTTTATTTAGTACATTTATTTTGTAGAATACAAGTAGAGTATATCGACTTGTTGTATGCATGAGCTTATGCCGTAACAAAAGAAATGCGTGACTTCTAACTAAATTTTACAATTTTTTTTTGTGACTTTATTGCTAGGCCTAAATGCAAAACACTTACCAGGATATATACAATAATAAAAATATCATTTTTTGAACATTTCAAAACAGCTTAAACTTGTGTTGAGCATATCCCTTTGAGTTGGGTATGAGCACACATTTCCACGCTTTGGCTTAAATGGCATAACTAATTGATGTTAGTGAATTTATAATGATCTCAGATACATTGAAACATGGAAGGTAGAATATTATGATTATGGATGTTAGTTATATTAAAATTCATTACAAATTGAAAAAGAAACAAAATTTACTCAAATTTTAGGATAATCGTAAGTTTTGCTGGTGTTTGCATAAGACCGTAAGATTTGATTGGAATGCGTAAGACTTACGACAAGTGCGTACGGGTTGACAAGTCTGGGTTATTATTAGTATTATTGATATTATTGTAAGATTAGGAAATTTTTTTTATTTGAGGTCAAGAGGTTAAATTACTTGTCATGTGGGGAAAATACATGTTAATATAAAAAATGTGTAAGTGGGTTGAACCATAAGTTATTTACTGTGTTTTTTAAATGATACTCTCCTCAGTACAAAAGTGATTTCAGTACCTTCTTCCAATAGTTTATGTGTAAGTGGGTTGAACCATAAGTTATTTACTGTGTTTTTTTAATGATACTCTCCTCAGTACAAAAGTGATTTTAGTTTATGTGTAAGTGGGTTGAACCATAAGTTATTTACTGTGTTTTTTTAATGATACTCTCCTCAGTACAAAAGTGATTTCAGTACCTTCTTCCAATAGTTTATGTGTAAGTGGATTGAACCATAAGTTATTTACTGTGTTTTTTTAATGATACTCTCCTCAGTACAAAAGTGATTTCAGTACCTTCTTCCAATAGTTTATGTGTAAGTGGGTTGAACCATAAGTTATTTACTGTGTTTTTTTAATGATACTCTCCTCAGTACAAAAGTGATTTCAGTACCTTCTTCCAATAGTTTATGTGTAAGTGGGTTGAACCACAAGTTATTTACTGTGTTTTTTTAATGATACTCTCCTCAGTACAAAAGTGATTTCAGTACCTTCTTCCAATAGTTTATGTGTAAGTGGGTTGAACCATAAGTTATTTACTGTGTTTTTTTAATGATACAGTGATTTCAGTACCTTCTTCCAATAGTTTATGTGTAAGTGGGTTGAACCATAAGTTATTTACTGTGTTTTTTTAATGATACTCTCCTCAGTACAAAAGTGATTTCAGTACCTTCTTCCAATAGTTTTTCTTTACATTTTATACATTTTTTAGCAAATTTTTTGAGAATTGAGGAATAAAATAGAATTTTTTATTTTTCATAATATTTTGGCTTTGATCTGTGTAAAATCAATAGTAATTTAATATTAATCTTTGTTAATTCATAAACTCTATTATCAATCTGTGTAAAATTTGAAGCGCTCTAATATTAATCTGCGAAAAAATTTTCAGTGCTCTAACATTTATCTATGTAAAATCAAAAGCACTCTAATATTTTTGTTTGTCCTCATATGATTTTTTTCAAAATACCGGTACTTTTCTATCCATAGTTGAGTTTTGGAATTCCTGCTTCAGCGTATCAAACAATGGCAGCAGAGTCAAGGCTCTGCAGGAGAAAAATAAGAAAGAGCTAGAAAGAAGTAGTATGGACAAACATTGAGAACCCAAAGAAGAATATTGCAGAGGATCGTAGAAAAACCAAAGTTTTGCAATGTTGCTTAGGAACAAGAGGTAAGGAATTAAATTAAGAGATTATTTAAAATGATAAGGTGATACGCTGTACACAACGTATCACCTATTATTTTTCTAAATATTTTTCTTCTGTTCTTTCTCCTCTTTGTTCATTGCTTTTCTCAAATATGGTGCAGGCTCTAACCTTGCTTGGCTAGCATGTTGTATCTACATCTGAAGTCACAGTCATGTGATGTCATCTACACGCCATTTTCTGAAAATTTCTGTAATCATAAATTCCTCACAGGCATTTTTCAATAAAACATGTTATGAGTGTGCGTATGCATGCGTTAAAATTTAAAATGCTCAAAATCACTTTTTGACTAATTTGGAGCAGGTTTCACGTTATTTAGAGGCATCTAGACTGTACCAACTTGTACATTCACTATGACACTCCATGTCAAGGTGGACTGAAAAATGTTGTCTTGGACGTTGTAGCTCCGCTTCTTGGTTGAGGTTTTTTTTTTGTTTTTTTTTTTATTATGAAATTGTATATATATTTTTAGAGACTCAATTGTTTAATTTCTCCTGAATTTTTAATATGTAATTCGTCTTTGTAATTTTTAAGTTATTAATGTAAATTTTAATGTTTAATATTGCTCTATTTTAATAATGATTTGTAAATTTTTATTGGCCAATATTTGTAAACATTTTTCAGTCTTTCAATTCAGCTTATGCTGCAATAAACTGTTTTTTATGTGTGATTCTTTTTTTTGCAATAAATATACCTAAATATATATATATATGTATAAAACGACAAGATAAAGATGCCAAATTCCAAATAATAACAGGACAGCAAAGATTTATTCAAACAATTATATTGAACAGTAATCATCATATAAACAGTAATCTTAAACTTCAATTTAACAGGCCTCGTCGCACATGCTCAGCCTTGTGAATTCGCTTTGGGTATTTCATCACTGCCCAGACGTGCACACTTGTTCTGAACAAATGGACATATTTGGCCCTATCCAGTGCAATGCAGTTAATCAAAGATACTAGAAATACAAGATAGAGTTCTCCACACAAAAAAAGTGTTCCACCGTGTTCCACCGAAATGCATGGTGGGAATACGAAAAATGGGACGCCCCCTACAGCTGGATCTAAAAAAACTTCTAGATGTGTATAAGAGACAGCCACACCGACAGTCCGAGACGGCGCGCCGTCTGCTGATTGTCGGTGTGGTGTCGTGTGGCGTGATTGCGTGATTGGTGTGATTGTGGTGTGGTGTGATTGTCGGTGTGGTGTGGTGTGGTGATTGACGCGACGCCACGGCGTCGCGTCAATCACCACACCACCACCACATGTTTGAAAGCTCCCTCTAGACAACATTTTAGAATCTGGACAGAGCTTAACACTGTCGTTTTGTGGGACCTTAGCAACAATATCCAAGGGGCAAGACTTAGCAGAAATGTGATAGCTTGTAGCGATTTTATGGAAACCAGGCTCAAGACAAATTCCAATCTACTCCAAATTTTGATGCAATGTATTTTATTTGGTAAATATATTATCAAGAGAATTTTAAAATTAACAATATTTTACGACTAAATTAATGTCTTTTTTTCTTGTATAATATAAGGATCTGTCTCTTATACACATCTAGATGTGTATAAGAGACAGAGGTTATGTTGATAGAATGAGTTTTTTTAGTTCAGGTTTAATTGATGTATTGCAATAATAATAATAATAATAATAATAATAATAATAATAATAATAATAATAATAATAATAATAATAATAATAATAATAATAATAATAATAAAAATAAT